CGTCTTTACTGCTTTTTTAAAAGCAGCAAGGGTGGTAATAAGACGGATTTCGTCTGGCAGGCCATTCCACAGCCTGGGAGCAGTTGCGGAGAAGGCCCTCTGGGATGTCTGAGACAGCCTAATTTTTATTGGCTATAACAGATTCTTCCCAGAGGACTGAAGGGCGCGGTGGGGGGGATCATATGGGGAGAGGCGGTCCCTAAGATAGGATGGACCCAAGCCATGTAGGGCTTTAAAGGTCAAAACCAACACCTTGTACTGCGTCCGGAAACTAATCGGCAGCCAGTGGAGGGATTTAAGCACCGGTGTTATGGCGCCAGGGAGGGACCCACAATGGGCAGGGATTAAGAAGATTCTTGGCTTTCTCCTCTGCTGCCGGAACCCCACCCCTGCCCCCACCCCTTGGCCAAATAGACCCCCAGCTCCTAGGAAGGCAGTTGAGCGGGACAGAAGGGAAACGGAGGGAGGGAGGAAAGGAAGCCCCACAAAGGTAGGCCCCAGGTGGAAGGAGACCGGGTGCCCTTGTCCTTTCCTTCCCCTCCCCCCTTGGAATCCCTCAGGAACCACCAGAGGGGCTGTGGGGGCCCTGCTGTCCAGCCCCCCCCCGGCTTCCCACCTGACTGGCCATATGGGTGCCCTCCTCCCCAAGCCTTGGTGGCGGCAATGGCCAAGGGCCGGGAGAGGCCTCCTCCTCCTCTTCTTCTTTGGGACCTCAGAGGTGAAGATCTGCCGGCCACAGCAGGAAAAGCCCCCGGGGCAATGCAGCCCACCTTTCCCTGGACTGGGGTGGGCTTCCTCCTGCTCCAGGTCCTCCCCATCCTTTCTCTTCCCCATTGTGTGTGAGGGGGACTGGAGGAGGAGGAGGGTCCTTGTCACAAGGGTGACCCCAAAATCCCAAAGCGACTGTCAGGTTGAGCAGGAGCTTTCCCAGATCCTGGTGGCAGGGTTTTTCCAAGCGCCTCTCAGGTGAATGGCAACTTGATGTTGTTGTGTGCCTTCCATCCCTTTCTGACTTAGGGGGACCCTATCCCAGAGCTTCCTTGACAAGGTGTCTTCAGAGGAGCTTTTGCCATTACCTTTTCCCCCTGAGGTTGAGAGAGTGTGACCTGACAAGTTACACCCAGTTATGGTTGTTGTGTGCCTTCCAGCCCTTAGGGGGACCCTATCCTGGCCGGCACCCAAGGGGAGGCTTGTAACTTGGGTATGAATTCAGAGAACCAGCCCTGTTAGTCTGGAATATCAGTATGCATAGGATGTTCTATGGAGGACATTTGAGGAAAATGTAGGGAGTGATCAAATAAATGCTAAAAAAAACCCCAAACCAACCACTCCTATAAATGTATGCTTCTTAAGTCATGCTAAAAATGGAGGATATTCAAGGAAAATGAAGGACCTGACCAAATAAAAGCTAAAAACAGTCCTAGAAATGTCAATTCATGCTTCTTAGCCATGCCCAAAATGGAGGAAGTTACAAAATAAATGCTAAAAATATAACTTCTATATGAGGGGGTATTATTATCACCCAGAAGTAGTTATGGTATATTGATGAAATTTTGTCAGTGTCATCATTGATTCCTAAGTGCATGATGTTAAGAAAATCAGCTCATTGTGTCCTTTATTTTTGTTACAGGTTGTTCCAGAAGTGATTAAAGTGTAAGATGGACTGAGGCTTGCAGAGTGATAAAGTTCCTGCATTTGGGTAATCGTGCCGGGCAAATTCATGATGAGATGATGGTAGTTTATGGAAACGATTGCCCATCTTATGACACTATTGTGAGTGGAAAAGGAATTTCCAAACTGGTCACGTGTCCCTCACAGACGAGCCAAGACATGTAAGACCATAACTGACAGACAATGCAGCCACAGTGAAGAAAGTGGAGTGTTTAATCCTGGAAGACAGATGAGCAACCATCCAAATGATCACGAATGAAACTGGTCTCAGTTATGGTAGTGCATGGGAAATTATTCATGACGAACTGCACATGTCTGCTAACACCTTTCCAGAAACAAGCACAGCATGACCTTTCAAGACAGATGTTGACGCTGTTGGATCAGGATGAAGAGGATTTTTTTTTTTTGGTCATCTGGTAACCATGGATGAATCTTGAATCTATCAGTATGATCCAGAGACCAAAACCATGAACATGGAGTGGAAGCATGCTGATTCCCCTCCCCTCCCAAAAGGTAAAGGTGCAAAAGTCAGTAGGGAAGGTCATGCTCTCAGTTTTTTCGGACTGTCATGGAGTCATTCTCACAGATACCTTGCAAAGGGACAAACCATCACTAGCACATACTACAGCAATCTTCTGGACAAGTTGCAAGATGCTCTAAAAAAGAGGCATTCGTCTCCTAGCTGACAACACACCAGCTCACTCATCTCAAGTTGCAGTTAACAAAGCAAGGGCATGTGGCTTTGAGATCTTGCAGCATCCACCTTATTCTCCCAACCTTGCACCATGACTTTCTTTTGTTCCCAGAAATGAAACATTCATTGCAGGGGCACCAATTTGACAACACAGATGACGTCATTCATGAGGTGGAAGAGTGGTTTAAAGCACAATCTGCAGACTTCTACAATAACGGTATTCAGAGGGTCAAGAAACACTGGGGAAAATGTGTACATCTGGATGGTGACTATGTAGAGAAAAGTTTAACAACTACAAATCAAAACAAACTTTCTGTGAATTTTTGTTAAAGGTGATAATTAAAACTTTACAATACCCCCTCATAAATATAAATCCATGCTTCTTAGCAATTGTCAAAATGGAGAGCATTGAAGAAAAGCTCAGGACATAGCAAAATAAAATCTAAAAACATCCATATATAAATGTAAATTCATGCTTCTTAGCCATGCTCAAAATGGGGGACGTTCAAGAAAAGTGGAGGACTTGACAACATAAAAGCTAAAAACACTCAGTAATATAAATTCAGTTCATCAGGTTTATGTACATCAATATTACACATTGTTGTTGCGCCTTCAAGGTTTCAAGATTTGTTCAGAGGGGATTTTTGCCATTGCCATGATTTGAGGCTGAGAGTGTGTGATTTGTCCAAAGTCACCAAATGGGTTTCATGACTGAGCTGGGAATCAAACCTAGGTCTTCAGAGTCATATTCCAACGCTCAAACCATTAAGCCATGCTGGTTCTCACTTTATTATGTACTCAGCTGTATTTTTCTGATGAACATTAAAATGGCTTGTTGGCTTGCAATATACTTATGGAACTGAGCAAGACACAGACTTAAAATTGTACTTTACTAGCTACAAATTCTTGACTGAGACTCTAGATTTAAATTATTCCTTTCATTTGTCCATTGTGCTGAAATTAAGGAGGGGGGGGAACCCATTCAACATTTGCATTGTGTCCTCAAGCAGCCCACTGCTTAACACAGTTGTTGTCCTTCTCCCTTCTCAGAAACAAACACACCCTGAGGTTTGCGTGCGAGGCTTATCTGCTGCTGCTGTTCCAAGGAAAACAGGTCAGGAGCTGTCCAAGAGGGATTCCAAAACATCCTCCATTTTGAGCATGGCTGAGAAGCATGGATTTATATCTATAGGGGTGTTTTTTTAGCTCAGGGTGACTAGACTTGGTCCTCCTCCTTTTCAGGATCTGTCCTCCATTTCAACCTCTTGTCCAGGAGTGATTCCAAAAGGTTCTCCATTTTGAGTAGGGCTGAGAAGGATGGATTTAATATTTATATGAGTGGGGGGGTTGTTTTGTTTTTGTTTTGAGCTTTTATTTGGTCAGCCCCCCCTTTTTTTCCTTGCGTGTTTTCCCCGGAAGCCCTGCCCCTGGAAGTCCCACCCCCAGCACCCAGTGATACGCAGTGCAGGAATGCCACTGAGTTTGGGCACTTGGTCTCTAACAGGTTCATCATCACTATATCAGGACAACGCTGCCAGTAACATCTTTATTTCTCGGCAGAATTGGATAAAGCGTATGAGGGGTAGTTGCCCCTTCTGACTTACCAAACTTATCAGATTTCAGAATACATGAAGAATGTTTTGTGCAAAAGCAATGTTTAGAGCTTTGGAGTCCTATCCCCCAAAGATCATGCTCATCTGTGTGTTTTTTATAGGCAATTAGTATGAAAGTGACATACTGGTAGTCCTAATAAAGAAAAATTCAAACTTTAAAAAGGACAGGTACACAGTTTGTGGGCTTGGGTAGGAAGGGGAATCTCAAATTTGTTTTTTATGGAGTTTTTCCCCCTTCCCTTACCATTCTCCATAGGAGTCTTTTTTTTTTCCCCTGGGTATAAATTGACAGATGTTATAGATGTGTCCCTAGCCAAGAACCCTGCAAAATTTCAGAAGGATCAGTGCAGAGATGAGGGAAACAGTTTAATACTTTTTTTGTTTTCTGCTCAACTGGTGTGGAAGAACAATGCACAGAAAATGCAATGGGACAGAGATGAAAAAATTTATGCCAGACACACAATACCAGAGAAGAAGGACTTGCACATCCAAGCAAGAACCCAGTCCTATGGACTCCCAGGTCCCACAGACTCCACCAAAAATCTTTTCGTATCTCTGCTCTTGGGAGAAGGAACTAGCTAAAAGCACTGGGTAGTGGATCAGTCCTACAGTATATTATTTTAACATCCCTTGCACTAAAGCACTGGGATTAAAGAGCCTTGGCAAAAAGCATTAACTGTGATTAAAGCTAGAGCTGCCAGTCACTGTATTACATTCATTTATCAGTCCTCCCAACCACATTTGTATGGTGGGCTTGAGGAGAAATGTATCAATTTCTGGAAACACACATATGTACAGTATCTCTGTATTCCTCTGAATCCAAAAAAACTAATAAATCTTCAGGGTTGCTAAATTTCAGTCAATTTAGGAGGAGTCCAATTTAGGTTCAAAGTCTGGAACATTAGGTATGAAAATTGATTTTATTACACATTAGAGATTGTGAAAGTAATCTCATAATAATACTGTTGACAACTGAAATTGTTTGATTAATTAAATTATCATTAATTAATTTTATATTTAAGACTAGAGCTTCCAGAAGAGGCCATTGGGTTGATAAAGGCATAGTTTTTTCTAGGGCACATTCAATTTTTGGCACTTTAAAGAGCTCTCTTTTTGATATTTTAGTCGATGTCCCACAATCTGAACTTTTTTTGGATTAACTGCAAAGCCCATAATGTTGCCTGGGAATAATGGGACCAACAGATCTGGAAACTGTCTGGTTGGAAAAGGATGTGAGGGATGGGATCTCATATTTCAACCTATTCAGTTCTGTCTTGTCACTGATTTGTATCTCTCCTCTTTTATATATTTTCTTCCCACCTTCACCAACATGTACACTGTTTATCTTCAAACACCTTGTTTCTTAAAACTAACGAAGAAAAGGTGTTAAATGTCACTAAGGAGTGGTGTGTTTTAGCTGGAAAATATTGTTCTACTAGAAATGCAGCTGTAACTGGCTAGCTACAAAGATCAGTCAATGTATCAAGTATGGAGACTTCTTAATCAGAATTGTTTGGCTTGCCTCTAGGTATCTATAGGATTTTATTTTTTATTTTTTGTGCAACTGAATCACTTTATCTACTCTCTTCTTACATGAAGTGTGATCTGCAAAGATCCATAATAGATCACACATGTCTTGATCATTTAACTCACAAGACTTACTTCTGAATAGACTCCCTTCCAAGACAGACATAGGAGGGTTGCAGACTGCCAGAAATAGTGCAGATTGAGTCCACTTTTAGGGTTAGGGTTAGTGCTAGGGAATCATGGGAACTGTATTTTATTTATTTATACCAAAGCTCTCTGACAGAGAAGACTCAATGTCTCAGAAAAAATACAGTTCCCATGATTCCCTAGCACTAACCCTAACCCTAAAAGTGGACTCAATTTGCACTATTTCTGGCAGTCTGCAACCCCCCATAGGGATGGGGGGTATAATTTACCTAGCTATCTGTCTTTGCATACTGCCAGAAATAGTGCAAATTGAGTCCACTTTAAGAGTTAGGGTTAGTGCTAGGGAATCATGGGAATTGTTTTTTTTTTCTGAGACATTGAGCCTTCTCTGTCCGAGAGCTCTGGTGCCACAATAAACTACAGTTCCCATGATTCCCTAACCCTAACCCTAACCCTTAAAGTGGACTCAATTTGCACTATTTCTAGCAGTCTGCAAAGGCCCTATATCTTTTGGCTCTACCACAAAATAGCAAAGACTTGAAATTATTACTTAAGAAAGTCAAGGAAGAAAGTGCAAAGGTGGACTTACATTTGAAGATTAACAAAAATAATGACCACAGGTGATTTACATAACTGAATACTGAATTCAGTGAAAACATTGAAGGAGCCCTGGTGGCACAGTGGTTAAATGCTGGTACTGCAGCCTCAGTGTTGTAAGTTCGAGAAGGGCTCCAAGGTCCACTCAGCCTTCCATCCTTTCATAGGTCGGTAAAATGAGTACCCAGCTTGTTGGGGACAATTGGCTTACACACTATTGTTAGGAAGGATCTAATTAGAGGAATTTATAATTAGCTCCAAATATGCAAGAGTGGGGTCCTAACAAAGCCCCATGGGACCATGTACCATTATACCAGAGGACTAAGCGATCTCTCAATAGAAGACGCGGATACAGGCTTCTCCAATTAAAGTCTAAATATTTATTCACTCGTCCACATATAGCACATACACACACGCAACACACTCTAGAAGGAAAGATGGGTGAAAGCGGGGATAGCTTGAGAGGAGCTAGGCTGAGGGGAAATACTTACTTCCGAAGGCTTCTCTGGGCTTCGCTGTGAAGGTTGATGATGATGGTGATGGAGCACAGTCAGATTACAGACTGACGTGGAGTCTGCATGCACTCTCAAGATAGCACATGGAGCCTAGAAATCCAAGGGTTCTTATAGGAAATTTCTGCCTTCTGGCGATGAGCTTAATGGCTGTTGGACAAAGGTGTTGATGGTCTTAGCTTTGTTACCCTACGTGTGAGCATGGTCTGAATAATGCATTTGGTTTCGAAACCATCAAGGAAGGGAGGCTAGAGAAAAGGGTGCAGTCAAATCTGATCACTGCCCCATCAAGTGTGAGACTCAAAACAAGCAAGCACTATTATGTGTCTTTTCCAATATAATGTTTTTTTCTCTTTTGGCAACTCCCAAACTTGTCTGGTAGGGAATTTTCC